GCCCCACCTCAGAGCCTGCATCCCCAGCCGGAGCCCTCACCCTGCACACAGCCCAGCCTCCTGCCCCAGCCCAGAGGTGTCTCCTGCACCCTGAACCCCTCATTTCTGTCCCCCCCCAGGCCACACCCCCAGCCCAGAGCCCATCCCTCCCCTGCACCCCATCCCTCTTCCCCAACCCAACCCAACCCCCTTTCCCAGGGCCAGAAGAGGCCAAGACAAGCTTCAATTTGTCTGTAAAAGTACCAGGACTAAAAATACTCCAATGATTTTGCACGTACTCTGGAGCCCTCCCTTAACTCATATGAAAAGGAGGACTTGTGGCACCTTAGAGACTAACAAATTTATTTGAGCATAAGCTTTCGTGAACTACAGCTCACTTCATCGGATGCATGTAGCTCATAAAAGCTTATGCTCAAATAAATTTGTTAGTCTCTGAGGTGCCACAAGTACTCCTTTTCTTTTTGTAGATACAGACTAACATGGCTGCTACTCTGAAACCTGTCTTAACACATAAGTTGGAGTGTAATGCTAACCACTAGTAAAGATAGTGGTATCTTATTTGGAAGTTGCAGTTGAACCAAAGGCTAAGGGTGTCATTCAACGCCAGTGCATTGTGGTAAACAAATGTTATTTGATTATTGATTATTAATAGTGGACTAGCAAGTTGGAGGGATAGTTCAGTGGTCTGAGCATTGGCCTGCTAAACCCAGGGTTGTGAGTTCAATCCTTGAGGGGGCCATTTAGGGATCTGAGCCAAAAATTGGGGATTGGTCCTGCTTTGAGCAGGGGGTTGGGATTAGATGACTTCCTGAGATCCCTTCCAACCTTGATATTCTATGATTCTATGAAGATACCATACTTAAAAATTAACTAGCCTATAAACTGTACAAAAATCAGTCACCTAATTTTGATTAGTAAAATAAACATTCTGTGCAAACATGAATATGAACTACAGCAGTACAATATTTATTAGCAAGATATATAAAAAGTTCCCTATGCTATTTTGTAATGTACAGTGAAGTATGTACTGTCTACAGGAAGTATGTAACCTGACTTTTAGTGGTTAAACACTAGCTTATTCTACAGTATGCAGAATGTTGAAATCACTTATATCATTCCAAAAAAACCCAAGGCTGAATGTTACTGAGTCTGTAAATAGCTCATTCAGTTTCTTCAGAACAACATAGGCATTTTTAATCTCTCATCTCCACCATCCTTACCTCCCAAATTGTCATTTAAACCTAGGATTGTCAGTTTGTGTTTGTTTCTCAGAGAGAGAGAGGCAACCACTGGTGTTAAATGCCAACCTAGAGGCAACCATGGTGGAGATAAGAGATGTAAAAATTTTCCTAATTGATCATTTGACCCTTATTTTTCTGTAATTGCTAAACTGTAATATTGTAATTGATCATTTAAGCCCTTAAATAGAAATATTCACAAATCTAAGCAGATTTTAGTGGGTTTAATGTTAGATTCTTATTACTGTATTCTATATTTCCTGAAATACAGTACCATAACTACTCTGAACTATTCTATGCTTTTTCCATCTCAATTTATACTCTTGAGGGTCTTTCATATTGTAGGTTTTGTCAGGCGATTACAATAATTAGGTTTTAAAGCCATTATTTAGCACTTGTGTACGATGCAGGATTAAAGTTTTGTAGTTGTATTTTTTAATTTGTGTTAATTTAAAGCCAAATTCAGACATGATTTAAACAGTCACAGATCCATGTCTTCAACAGCAAGTTGAACTGGTTTACACAAGGTATGAATTTAGCGTTGAATGTTAAGGGATTGTCTCAAGTATATATAAGCAAGGACATTCAGTGAACACCAAAGATGTCATGAATGGTTCCATATGTAGCTATCTATTATACCATAAACAAGTCTGTAAAATCATGCAGTGTTGTGTATCAAAGTTTTGAAACACGAATTAAAATTGTGCTTCAGAAATTACTTGTAATTTGATCTGTCTGAAAAGAGTCAGGAATCATAAGCAGATTTGTGTACTCTAAATTGCATTGACAATTTAGTAGTATGTGCAAATGTTCAGGCTGATCTCTAATTTTCCTGTACTCTTATGCCACTAATATTTCGTGCCTTAGATAGTAAAGATATGTTAGAGGGAAAATAGCTGAATGTTTTTAAATGTTTCTTGAAACTAGGTAGGTATGGTTGAAATGCTTGAAACTACTTTACCTGCTCATTTTACACAATGATGGATTTTCCTCTACATTTCTCAGATCAGCTAAAATACTAACAAAGGCTGTCGTTGATGAAGAGAATATAGATGACATAATTAAAGATATCATTGATGAAAGCAGCTTTTCCAAAAAAACTGTGGTAAGTAGAGTTCTGAAAAATGCTGCATGAAGGGGTTCAGTTAGAAAGTTTTCAGAAAAGGGAGTTTCAGGGAGGTGTGTTTGTTTGTTTTTTAATTGTGAGAAAGCAGGTGGGTGTAGTGAACTTGGGAGCTCAGGATATGTGAACTGTGTGGAGGTTCAGAGAGCCTGAGAACCAGACTCTCTTCCTCAATAAGTGGTACAGCATGGACAAGAAATTATGGAAGCTAAAGCCAAGATCCAGAAAGGGATTTAGGCATTGCAATGCTCAGCATCGTGGTGCCTAACTTTTAGGCATCTAGAAAGACACAGAATCAACACTGCAATTCACAAAGCCTGAGTTAGGTACCTGGGTTCCCTATACAATGACTGTGGAGATAGAAGCGCCTTGGAATGTGATCACAGAAGCCAACGTGCTAGTCAGGGAGCTGGAAATGCTAGCCCATGGGAAATTCTAAGGAGAGGTGTGTGTCCTAAACCCTACCACTTTGACAGAGATAGACACCTATCTCTGCTAACAGTCCATGATCAGGAACCCACCTCCTGGAGTCAAGTAACTTAGGTTCCACAGAAAATGGCGGGAAGAGGAGAAAGTGATGGTGTTTAACCTCTGTGCTAAAAATTATAGAGCACTTGCCAGGGATGTGGGAGATCCAGGTTCAATTCCCCTCTTTGCTAAAGGGGGAGGAAGGATTTTAACCGGCATCTCCAACCTGCCAGAAATATGATCTAACTACTGAGTTATGGGATATTCTGGTGTGGGGCTCCCCCCGTCTTTCCAGTTGAAGCTGTTCCATTATGAATAATTAGTAAAAGAGTCAGTGGAGCTGGGGAACTGGACCTTAGTCTCCCACCTCGCAGGTGAGTGCCCTAACCACCAGGCTACACAGTCATTCTCTCTCTGTCTCTTTCTTTCTTTCTTTAGCAGGAGAGATTGAGGGAGCCCTGACACATTGCCTAGGGATACCCAGGGTTGTGAGGCACCTCGCTATCACCTGCCATAGCTATGCCTGCCATGGTAATCCCCAACTCCTCCAGCCAGAGGCAACACAAGCACTCCCCTCTAGGCCTTACAGGCCCCACTGTTACTCTACAGGTTAGTGATAGATACAGTCCAACCTTTGAGCTCTCCAGGCGTCTTCCTGGAGTGTTCAGCGCCTGGTCCACTGGTATTGGCAGTATTCACAGATTCGCTGCTTCCAAAGAAACAGTACTCATCAGCTTACCAGTTCTATCTCGTATCACCTCTCCACTCAATACACAGCCTTTCGATATACTTGATTTCACTGCAAACGTAAGTTTATTTAACAAAGCACAGATTCAAGTAATAGCAAGAAGTAGTACTGGAAACAAATGTTTACATATAAAATAAAGTTATAATGCATTCTTGAGCCTAGACTTATTTACCAAGGTACTCTCATGTCTTGTAGAGTTTGACTCACCCAAAATCCTTGCAGCTCTTTTTAGCCAGCTTAGCTGTGATACTCCTTTCATGAGATAAGCATGCTGTCCTCATGCCCTCACCCCACAGATATATCAGTCCCATCCTTTGTCTTTATTCATAGACAGGGCACCCCTGCTCATTGTTTCGTCCTGTGAATTTCCTCTCTTGTAGATTTCAAAATCTCTTTTTTTGCCTGTGGCTCAGTATGCAAATAGGCCTACATTGTGAGCCATACCATACACAAATGACTAGCCAAGGGTGATAGATATCTGCTGCCTCCTGTCTGAAAGGAAAATTTTTGAGGTGTTTCACCTCCTGGTGACCGTCCTTAACTCCAAGATCTTAACGACATGAATTTTAGAATAGATACATAACTCATAACTGACACAGGGAAGAAAGGTAAGCAGCAGGATACGGACCCTGGACTTCAGGAAAGCAGACTTCGACTCCCTCAGGGAACAGATGGGTAGGATCCCCTCGGGGGCTAACATGAAGGGGAAAGGAGTCCAGGAGAGCTGGCTGTATTTCAAGGAATCCCTGTTGAGGTTACAGGGACAAACCATCCCGATGTGTCGAAAGAATAGTAAATATGGCAGGCGACCAGCTTGGCTTAATGGTGAAATCCTAGCGGATCTTAAACATAAAAAAGAAGCTTACAAGAAGTGGAAGATTGGACATATGACCAGGGAAGAGTATAAAAATATTGCTCGGGCATGTAGGAATGAAATCAGAAGGCCCAAATAGCACCTGGAGCTGCAGCTAGCGAGAGATGTTAAGAGTAACAAGAAAGGTTTCTTCAGGTATGTTGGCAACAAGAAGAAAGCCAAGGAAAGTGTGGGCCCCTTAATGAATGAGGGAGGCAACCTAGTGACAGAGGATGTGGAAAAAGCTAATGTACTCAATGCTTTTTTTGCCTCTGTCTTCACTAACAAGGTCAGCTCCCAGACTGCTGCGCTGGGCATCACAACATGGGGAATAGATGGCCAGCCCTCTGTGGAGAAAGAGGTGGTTAGGGACTATTTAGAAAAGCTGGACGTGCACAAGTCCATGGGGCCGGACGAGTTGCATCCGAGAGTGCTAAAGGAACTGGCGGCTGTGATTGCAGAGCCATTGGCCATTATCTTTGAAAACTCGTGGCGAATGGGGGAAGTCCCAGATGACTGTAAAAAGGCTAATGTAGTGCCAATCTTTAAAAAAGGGAAGGAGGAGGATCCTGGGAACTACAGGCCAGTCAGCCTCACTTCAGTCCCCGGAAAAATCATGGAGCAGGTCCTCAAAGAATCAATCCTGAAGCACTTAGAGGAGAGGAAAGTGATCAGGAACAGTCAGCATGGATTCACCAAGGGAAGGTCATGCCTGACTAATCTAATTGCCTTCTATGACAAGATAACTGGCTCTGTGGATAAAGGGAAAGCAGTGGATGTATTGTTTCTTGACTTTAGCAAAGCTTTTGACACGGTCTCCCACAGTATTCTTGTCAGCAAGTTAAAGAAGTACGGGCTGGATGAATGCACTATAAGGTGGGTAGAAAGTTGGCTAGATTGTCGGGCTCAACAGGTAGTGATCAATGGCTCCATGTCTAGTTGGCAGCCGGTGTCAAGTGGAGTGCTCCAAGGGTCGGTCCTGGGGCCGGTTTTGTTCAATATCTTCATAAATAATCTGGAGGATGGTGTGGATTGCACTCTCAGCAAATTTGCGGATGATACTAAACTGGGAGGAGTGGTAGATACGCGGAGGACAGGGATAGGATACAGAGGGACCTAGACAAATTGGAGGATTGGGCCAAAAGAAATCTGATGAGGTTCAATAAGGATAAGTGCAGGGTCCTGCACTTAGGACGGAAGAACCCAATGCACAGCTACAGACTAGGGACCGAATGGCTAGGCAGCAGTTCTGCAGAAAAGGACCTAGGGGTGACAGTGGACGAGAAGCTGAATATGAGTCAGCAGTGTGCCCTTGTAGCCAAGAAGGCCAATGGCATTTTGGGATGTATAAGTAGGGGCATAGCGAGCAGATCGTGGGACGTGATCGTCCCCCTCTATTCGACATTGGTGAGGCCTCATCTGGAGTACTGTGTCCAGTTTTGGGCCCCACACTACAAGAAGGATGTGGATAAATTGGAAAGAATCCAGCGAAGGGCAACAAAAATGATTAGGGGTCTGGAACACATGACTTATGAGGAGAGGCTGAGGGAACTGGGATTGTTTAGTCTGCAGAAGAGAAGAATGAGGGGGGATTTGATAGCTGCTTTCAACTACCTGAGAGGTGGTTCCAGAGAGGATGGTTCTAGACTATTCTCAGTGGTAGAAGAGGACAGGACAAGGAGTAATGGTCTCAAGTTTCAGTGGGGGAGGTTTAGGTTGGATATTAGGAAAAACTTTTTCACTAGGAGGGTGGTGAAACACTGGAATGCGTTGCCTAGGGAGGTGGTGGAATCTCCTTCCTTAGAAGTTTTTAAGGTCAAAGGGTTGACAAAGCCCTTGCTGGGATGATTTAATTGGGGATTGGTCCTGCTTTTGAGCAGGGGGTTGGACTAGATGACCTCCTGAGGTCCCTTCCAACCCTGATATTCTATGATTCTATGAACTCCTTAAATATTATCCGCACATACTTTTTGCAATGATGACAGTGACCAGTGGGCTACTGGCTCTTGGTAGAGACCTCACATGTCACCCTTTGGTAAACTGTTATGCTTATATCCAACCCAGGGGATCCCTGTAAACCCTATGCACCCCCTGTGCCTTCTGCCATTTGGCACCAAAAAGTCCCTGGGTTATAAGCCCAATATCAGAATATCCTATAACTCAAGTGGATAAACTCTAGATGAGCTGCTATTAGGGAAAACTTCAAAACTTTCAATTAAATGGTCTTGTACTTTCCAATTTCTTTTTCTGTCATTACCAAGATATTTGTCTAAATAGAAGCTTTCTCTTCTTCAGTCTACATCCTTCCACCATTTTATTAACTGAAGTTGCAGTCTGGTGTGTTAGTGTTTCATGGAATCATTGTCTGGTGGTTAGCATACAGAACTGGGAATCAGAGTTAAATTCCTAGCTATGCATTTACTGTATGACTTTGGGCAAGTCACTTAGGCTTCAATTTTTAAGTGTGTCTACTAATTTTCAGTGCCACACGAGACACCTAGAATGTGTTTTTTTTTAAAAACAAAAGGTGCTGAGCACCCACAATTCCAGTTGGATAGATTTGAAAGATGTACATTTGGAGTTTAAGTTATTTGATTACTATCCTGGGCCAGATCATTATTCCCACCTGCCCCCCAACACCCAAATATATTTGTATGGAGAGGGGCAGAATCTGCTGCCTCCTTTGCATGGGGTTCTCACAGAGCCCTCTGCAGAGTGGGGGCATCTGCATTTGGGGAGGAAATTGGGTGAGTTTAGATGTGTTATGAGCCTGGTTCCCTATCTACCCATGGGTGGATCTGCTAAAATTGTGATGCCTTTTGAAAAGAGCCAAATCACCGTGACGGGCAACTTGCAGTTTTTCTACCTTCATTCCGATTTCCATCGGAGAGATTTCTGGCCTTTGCTTCTTAAGCAAAACTGAATGGCTGTGTATGTTGCTGTAATGCTGCCTGGTTCTCTCTCTGTTTTGAAATAGAAACTGACATATAAATCTGAAAGTCCCACATCTGAAAGAAATAGTGCTTCCATTCAGGCTCATGGTAAAAGGTAAGTGAAGCGTGCTGACCTGAATACACAAGTGTGTAAATTCTATAATCAGTCTAGTAATGTCTACTATTTAAACTATGATGACACTGAATTACAAAGGAACTAAGTATTTAGGGGAGCTTTCGTAGGAGAAAGGACAAATAATTCAGCGTTTTGTGACTCCAAAGAGCAAAGGAAGTTTTTCATTCATTTAATAGATTCATAGATTCCAAGGCCAGAAGAGACCATTGTGATCATCTGATCTGACCTCCTGTATAACACAGGCCATAGAACCTCCCCCAGCATAATTCCTTTTTGAATGTTTAAAAAAATCCAGTCTTGATTTAAAAATTGCCCCTAATGGAGAAACCATCACAACCCTTGGTAAATTGTTCCAGTGGTTAATTACCATTAAAAACTTACACCTTATTTCCATTCTGAATTTGTCTAGCTTCAGCTTCCAGCCATTGGAGTTTGTTATACTTTTGTCTGCTAGATTGAAGAGCTCATAATCAAATATGTGTTCCCCATGTAGGTACTTTTAGCCTGTGATCAAATCTCCCCTTAGGCTTCTCTTTGTTAAGATAAACAGATTGAGCTCCTTGAGTCTATCAGTATAAGGAATGTTGTCTATAATGCTAAATTAAAGTACTAAAGATTACTGCAGTTGTAAATAATCTTCTGCCACATGAAAAAGCATTAACAGTTCAAAATTAATGTTCTGTTTTACTTTTCTGTGTTTATTTTAAGTCCCTGTACTATTTGGTGAACACGTAGCCCATAGTAGAGTGTTTCTGTGACTCTTGCTTATGCACACATTGAAAAACTTTTAATTCTTATATGCTCCTGGATGTTCAGCATAAGTCCAATAAAGTAACACTTACTTTATAATTACTGTGCTTTACAATTCTAATGAAAATAATGGACTTGCTGAAAAGGTACATGTGCTCATTGGAGCATGACAGACTAGGTCAAATCAACTTAGGTTATTATTATGCTACTTTTCCCAAATGACTTTAACTAATTTTACATTTCTCTGTTGAATTCATGTAGCTGTTGTCCAGTGTATCTTGGCGGAAGCTCTACACCACGTGGTATAGGAACAAATATTTCGCAGAGGTAGGAAATCTGAAATCTGAAAGATACTACTCTATTACATGTGGTTTATTTCATGAGTGTGTTTTAGAGACCTCTTGAGAGCTTATCTGCTCAATATTGACACTAAAGATTCTATGGCCCTTTTTATAAAAGTAGGGTGTCCCCAGCTCTTATGGTATCACCATTTCATTAGTTCTGCAGTCATAGTTATCCAGCTGAGGCCAGACTTGGATTTTTAATTAAAAAAAAAATCAGTTCAAGTTTCAGACCATCTTTAGACATTTTAAGGAAGGAAAAAGCATGCAAGGCAACATTTTTTCTTTGCAGGTAACATTTAAAAAAATTAAATAACCCATCAACTTACAGCAAGTCACAAGAAATTTCAGCCCAAAGGGAATTTTCTTCTAAATCATGTTTTTAAAGTGCTTATAACAAACAGTGTCTTCAGAACCAGAATTATGGGCCAGATCTTGACTCCTATGCTAAGGATTTGCACAGGGATTTTATGTGGGAGACCGAATCTTTCCCTGTAAAGCCACTTTCGTGCCCACCAGCTTCAGCTGTGTATGTGATCTTTACACCCCTTACCTCAAAAGGCAGTTTTGTTTAATGGAACTACTTAGTTGTGGTTACACAAGCCATGCAGCCACTCAAACTTGCTTAGAGAGAGGAATTGTGGAGTATTGCGCCTTACTGTGCAGGGGAAGCAGTCTTCCTCAGTGGCCTTTTCCAGTGTGACCTTTAACAGTGTATCTGTAGCAGTTCAGCTGCTTTTGAGCCCTGTGCTGCATATTATCCTACTGCACTGCACTAGCATAGCTCTACAGTCTAGTAGCCTAAATGTAGTCTTCCGTATTTTTCATCAGGAAAAACTGACAATCTAGCCCAAGGATTCTCAAATTTCATTGCATCGCAATCCCCTTCTGACAACTAAAATTACTACAAGACCCCAGGAGCCGGGGACTGAAGCCTGAGCCTGACCGAGCCCCACTGCCCTGGGCAGGGGGGCCAAAGCTGAACTGCAAGGTCTTCAGCCCTGGCGGGGCTGTAACCTGAGCCCTGCCACCGAGGGCAGTGGGACTCAGTCTTCGACTTTGGTCCCAGACCACAGCAAGTCTAACACCAGCCCAGGTGACCCCATTAAAAAGGGGTCACAACCCACTTTGGGGTCACAATCCACAGTTTGAGAACTGCTGATCTAGCCTAAAATTCATTGTGAAAAAATAAGCTTTTAAAATACCAGCATTCTCTACTACTAAATAATTTACCTAATACACTTAAACTGAAGTATTACTATCCATTTTTCCCCAAGGGTTTTAAAACTGAAAAGGCTATCTTCAGATTGGTTGGCAAACGCAAAATCAGTTTCTTAATGTGTTTTTTGTTGTTTAAAGTAGAGCAATATGTTAACAAACTCCTTTATATTATGGTCCTGATCCTGCAGTTCTTACATGAATAGTCCTAAAAGCCCCAACATGGTAAGGTACTTAAACACATGTGGACCTTTAAGCACAGGAGTAGTCCCACTGGAAGTTACACGTACAGGCCATCCTTCTGAGGCCAGTAGACCTTCTCATACAAGTGAGGGTTTGCAGGATCAGGCTGGTAGTGGAAACAGTATATTGTATAAAAAGTATATTGAGAAAGCCTTAGAACTTGCAGATGAAAAATCCAACTGTAAGGACATAGATCCATGACTAAACATAGGAATCTTATAAGGGCTTAGGTTACTGGTGAGTACATCTAAGTGGGGAGTGAAGGGAAATAAAACTGAAGACCAAATAGAAAACCACTGGCGTATGACCTTTTAATATGTGGATTTCTCTTCAAAAAGCTAAAATTATTACTTTTTCTCTTGTAAATGTTATAGTAAAAAATGACAGCACTGCCTTAAGTTAGGGTTGCCTAAAACTTTCCATTATAAGACCCTGTTTTTGATTGTGAAGCTAACTGTTTAGGCTGAAGTTTTCCATGCTGAATGTCTGCCTCAGGTTGAATTTTTTTTTTTTTTTTTAAAGTTTAGAAAAAATAGTTTAGCCATTTCTGAGAACTTTTTTTAGTATTTGGAAAAACAGGTTCACCATTTTGTTGAGCTCTAATGCCTCCATAATTCAGAGCAGGGTCTCTAAATGTTTTTGGGGGTGGGGAATGGTCCCAGTGGGGTCAGAGAGATACCTTTGCTGCCCCTGTAAACGTCCACCCAAGCTTGCCAGGCATCACAGCTGAGATCAGGGAGACTCTCTCTTGTGCTCTTATTGCTCCCCTGCTGATGCCTAGGCAGTGTGGAAGAGGAATCAGCCTGTTTCGAGTGCTGAGGAATGAGAAGCAGAGGGAATAGCCGGGGATAAGAAATTGGGACCCTGCTTCAAGGAGGGGAACGGGGCAGATGGAGATAGAAATAGCACCCCGGGAGAGGAAGACATGGTTGGGGACTGGGATCAAAGAGTCTGTAACAGCTAGAGATCACTCTCCTCCAGAACCTGGAGCAGAACCCAGGAGTCTGGATTGCCTACAGACCTCTATTGTAAGCAAACATTTGTGAAGCCTGCTGACAAACTATTGTGTCTCATCCTCTTGTGGCTGTCTTGCAGATAGCCACCTAAAACTATTAGTATCACCAGTTAGTTATTCTGTTAGCTCAAGTGAGAGTGTGCTGTGCTGTGTGTCTAAAGAGTCCAACTGTGGAGGTCAGTATGGATGGAATTTGTTCAGTATGCTTTAAAAAAACCAGTAAATTACATGCAAAAAACTATGTTAAGAGAACGTTATGGTTGTAAAGTCAAGCATTTATATATTTCTATTCCCATACAGAGTATGGTCCCATACCTTATTTACTGTATACCATCCAAATCTGCACTGAATACAGATTTATTAATTCCTTTACAGACTTTTTTAAACACTTATCGCCATTGTATCTGAATGCTTCATAAACATCATCCTTTACACCATCCTTGTGAGGGGAGGTGGTGGTATTCTCGTCTTTACAGATGAGGAACTGAGGCACAGAGAGATTAAAACCAACATTATCAGAAGTGTCTACCAATTTTAAGTGCCCAACTTGAGACACCTAGGGTCTGATTTTTCAGAGAAATTAGAATTGCATAGCACTTTGTATGTTTAAAGCACAGCTCCCATTGACATCAGTTGTAGCTCTGAGTGCTCAGCACTTCTGCAGATTAGGCACCCAGAAAATGAGGAACACACAATAGCCACCTGTGAAATTTTTGGTTTAAGGCAGTGTTTCCCAAACTTGGGACGCCGCTTGTTCAGGGAAAGCCCCTGGCGGGCCCAGCCGGTTTGTTTACCTGCCGCGTCTGCAGGTTCGGCCGATCGCGGCTCCCACTGGCCGCAGTTTGCCACTCCAGGCCAATGAGGGCCGCAGGAAGCGGCAGCCGGTATGTCCCTCGGCCCGCACCGCTTCCCATAGCTCCCATTGGCCTGCAGCGGCGAACCGCGGCTAGTGGGAGCCGCAATAGGCCAAACCTGCAGACGCGGCAGGTAAACAAACCAGCCCGGCCTGCCAGCGGCTTTCCCTGAACAAGCAGCGTCCCAAGTTTGGGAAACACTGGTTTAAGGGATATACTCAGCATCACAGAGGAAAACTCTGGCAAAGGCGGGCATAGAATCCAGGGAAGCATTTCGCTTCCTTAGCCATGAGATGATCCCTTCTCTACCTACAATCCTCTGCCTCATTCACTACACACCTTCCACCTTCACCCTCCAAATGAGGCAGGAGTTGAGACAACAGCCTCCATAATCTATATTAACCTAGTTAGTTCCCAGCGCACCATCCAGCTTATGCACTGAATGAGGCAGTGGAAAGTATGTATGAGCTCATGTAATTAAAGCATGTAGAATGCCTGTGCGTGAGAGGGCACCTTAGTTCTGGAATTTTGTAACTTTTGAGCACTTGATTTTGAAATCTTAATATATCTTTGTAATAAATCACTGATATTTGATTATTTTACTTTGAACAGAACATGTGATCAGCTACGTTGTACTGCCTGTGACTTCCATGTGTCTCATTACAATGACTACCAGTGGGATAAGTCATGTGATTATCTCTTTTTCAGGTATGCCTCAGGTAGACTTGAAGTTAGTATTTGGGATACTATGCTTATCAAAAATATACATTTTAATAGATAAAGAACCATATTTATTGCTGGCATAATCAGGTGATATTCCATGTAAATCAGTGTTACTTTCACTAGTGATGAATTTGGCCTCTTGTGTTCTATTGCAGTATGTCTCATTCATGAATAAAGTAAAAATATGACTTTCCTTATGTATATTTGCCACCATGTTTTGGGTGACAGACTTATTGCTTCTGTCAGGTTTTTTTCTCTCCACTGTTAAGTACCGTGCTCATGCTATGTATATAAGCTGTTCAGTGAGACTCAAGCACTTTAAAAGCCTTTGTTTTAAAAATGTAGAAGCTTGACTGAATGCAAGGTTTTCCATGGGAAAAAAACCTTGGACCAATCACTTTAAAAAAAAAATTTTTTTTTTTAAATTGTGGTATTTCTCCCTCTCCCCCATCCCAATGGGGATTTGAAGTCCCTGAATTTGTCCTTTAGCCACTTTGACTTGTTATTTCTCTAAAACCTTTCCTGAAGACCTTACTAGGTTGGATTGTAATGACAAATAAGAGGTTTATTCCTGATTTATACATGGAATTTTAATACAGTGCATTCCATTTATTTTGATAAAATCTGTTTTGATCAAAACTTTGTTCTCTTGAAATATATTGATCAGGTTAATTGGATGTTCACATTGTTTGTGTGAACACCAGGGTGTATTGTAGCTTGTAAAGAACACTAACACCTTATAATAATAACACATTAGTAAGTCATCTTGTAATTAATAGTCTCTTTCTTGTTATGTTAGGACGTCCTTTGTGTTCTCTCTGATCCTAAGAATCGATAGAGAGATCCTTGGTTTTTTTATTAATGCAAATTATTAAAAATACTCTGCATTGATAAGTTTTTTATATGATTCTTTGGTAACTAGAGAGTTTCATGAACTAAAAGGCAGAATGTATATTATTTAATGTACAAGTTATTCTGTTCCTGAGATTTTGAATGAATAAAATAAAGAATTTAATCAATTGAAAGGCATTGTCATCAACTATTTCTAATTTGATTAAAATGTGTAATCCTCAACATGATGTTCAGCAATTTAGGCTAACATGGATTTAACAAAGCAAATTAGGGGATTAAAGGTGAGAATGAACCAGTTACATACCAAGCAGAATAGACAGAGGACAAATATACTTAGGGCACGTCTACACTACAGACTTAAATTGACATATGTCAGGTTGACTTGCAACCACCACAGTAATTACTGCAGAGGCTGATGTCCACACTACCCTCCTTCTGTTGGTGGTGTGCATCCTCACAAGCCAGGGCTCTCAATTCCCTACTGGGAACCAGCTCCCCCACCCCATTACCAGGCTTCTTGGCTCCCTGCTCCTGGCTGGGAGCAGGGGACAGCCTCCTGGGCTTCTCAGCCCCCCGGGCTTCTTGGCTCCCTGATCAGGGGGCCTCTGGGCAACAGTCTGGCTGGGAGCTGGGGGCAGCCAGGCTCTAGCTACCTGGCTATAGTGTGTACACTGTAGGGACAAGGCTATAGTGTGTACACTGACATAATTAGGTTGGCGTAAGCTGCCTCACATCAACCTAACTATGTAGTGTAGACCAGGTCTCAGATATTTGATTACATTCACTTGCAAACACAACCAGCATACCTGTCCAATTTTTTGAATATTAATATTAGACATGCCTGGTCTGTTAAACAACATGTCATAGATCTTGTAATAATGCTTACTCTGTAATATAACTCTTAAACAGAGAGATCTGATGACAATATTCGTATGCAATGTCTCTTTAAACAATCATTACAATAGTGAGCTTTTGTTTTGTTTCTCATATTTACATGGCATGCATTTGTAAACCTGTTAATCCTTCCTAAATAAATAGTGTAAAAATGAGATTTAAAGGATGGACAAGCAAGTTAGTAAATAAGCATCTACCCCACTGTGTTTAGTTCTCAGATTTCTATTGAAACATTTTTACTGTGCTCATCAGTGTAGTATTTGACCATCTATAAGGGCAGCAGATAAAGGATTAATGGAAAGAGCAGGCTAAATGTCAGTCATGGTTAACACATTAAGTTTACATTTGCTTTTTGAAATAACTGACTTTTATACCGGTCCTTTGGCTTCTTCATTTGTACTGCTGGATGCTAGCGTAGAAGTAACCTGTGATTTGGTGCATGTTCTCCCTATTGTCTATCTGTTTGTATTATGAAATGTGATCCCTTTTGCCTTCTACCCTGACCTGTTTCACCACAGACCTCTGTAGTGATTAACTTGCATATGCTATTTTCTGACAGCAGAATGTCACTGTGTATATGGATTCATTTATGATACAAGTGAACCAGTTTAAGATACTTAGGATAGCTGATACTGTATGAATCTAAACTAAATGAATACTTACAACACACTTCAGATTCACTCTCTAGACCAGATTGACCCCTCTGTAGGTTATTCCCAAGTAGGAGAGCTGATACTACATTAGTCTACTTGGTATTTCTTTCTGACTGATACTTTGGAGGATGGAATTCTCTCCTCTGCAGAACCAGCAGAGGACTAAACCTACAAAAACTTCAGGTTTCAATACACCTGCAAACAATAGTGACAGTACACTGAGACCTTTACTTAGGAAAGCATTATATTCAAGACAGCACTTCAGCACATGTTAAAATCCCACTAAAGTTAATGAGACTTAAGTGCACACTCAGTGTCTAGCATATGTTTAAGTGTTTTTCTGAATCAAGGCCCAAAGCTTGTTTCATGACCTAGCATCTGGCCTGAGTGCAGGAATGGCTGTTATTGCACTGGACTCTCCCTGTGGCTCCTGTCTCCCTGGGGGTTGTATACTGCAGAGGAGGAAGAGAAAGCAAGATGCTCTGTCCCAGTCAGAATTATACATCATTAGTGTTTCTTGCAGATTTTTTTTCATGGGGGGAGGGAGGGAACCAATTCTGCAGAGAGTGGCTGTCTCCCTTCCCCCTCACCTCACCCTTGCTCCCTCCCCACCACAGACCTCAGTCAGCATAAACCACCCACGGAAGGGATCGACATTATCACAGTACAAAATGTTCCTTTTCTTCCAACTGATGTAAGTAAAAACAATATAACAGGAGGATTTTGACCCAATAGTTTGCCTTCTTGAATTTTTATTTGCTAGAACATTGTGTTGCTCTTGTAACAAAAAAGTTAGTGACCTGTATACATTTCAGAGCAGCCCATGGCTGATTTAGCCTATAACTCATAATTAAACCAGAGATGCTATTGCACTATAACCTCAGTACTTACCATGAAAGTGATTTAAAAATTGCATATAAAAAGGAGACTGGCCTGTTAAATAACCTCATTCAGCATTGCATGGGGACTTTATAGTTACTGTAGTCAAAGCTCCTACAATGACAGCACCTGGAAATGCAACAGTCCATTAACCGACAGGGAACTGGTTCTGAGGGCAGCAGTGCTGCATTTACTGGGGTGGCTGTGTGCTTCTGGTCCTCCTTCAGGTAAGGAAGAGGATTCTCAGCAACTGCTCTGGCTCCAGTAGATAAAGGACCACAACCACTACACATGTTCTTAAATTGTATGTGATTTCTCACTTCAGATATCATGATAGTGGAAGAAGGCGGTGAGGAGAAGGAAAAACAGTCTTGAGAGCTTGTGGGTTGGAAGAAAATAAGTAGATGTAGGCAACAGGACCAGGAGCCCGTAGAGTAGCTAGAGAGGAGTAACACTGCTGTTCTCACTGGCAGTTTCCTGCATGCATGTAGACTGCTATAGAAGCAAGAGCTGTCCAGCGATCACATTAAAGTGTAATGCACCTAGGATGCTAAAAATTTGCTTTAAAAAAAACACACAAACAAACAGATATAATAAGGTGTCTTTATAAAGCTAGTCTGTTCGAGTGGTTTCAGCAGAATTGGTTTCAGCAGAATGCCATGGGCTAAGATCTTTTCTCAGCTTCACATACAACTCCCGCTAAAGTCAGTCCCAGTGTATGCACATCCAATGTCAGAATTTGGCCCCATGGTGCTAAGTGCTTATTTTATAGAAAAAACGAACTTACATGATACTAAAGTGAACTTATTTGATTGACAGGAATAACATGCCTGAACTCAGTAAATTAAGAGCAAAGATGATAAAGAAGAAGGGATCACGGGCTTATGCTTGTCAGTGCAGTTGGAGATCCATTGGTGAACTAACTGACCTCCGAACAGACCGGCAGCTTCGTTGGGTCTGTGGTAAACATGTAGAATGAAGTCTTCTCACATATTTGGTATGCGTTCCTGTGTGAAAACAGACTTTCAAGTCAAACTGACTTCCTTTTACCATGCATTTCCCACTCTATTTTCTGAGAACAGAAAGGAACCTGAATGTTTTATCTAGAACTAGATAGTGACACTGAATTCAGAACTGAACATTTTTCCTCTCACTGTAACAGTCTCATGAATTAAGGGAGTTCATAGAGGAAACAGCCAGCTTGGAGGCCTTCTATTCCCTAGAGTGCCAGCTACAGGTGACATTAGAAGTGTTAATGATAAGTGGGCTTGATGCGCTCCTCCCCTCATGCCGTTGGAGGGAGAAGAAGCCAGTGAAACCAAATGGGGCACAGAAAAAGCAGCTTATAAGCCCTTGTTTTCTTCACTACCTGCATATATGAAATATGCACAAGTATTATGTATGGCTTGTTTTTTTTTCAGCACTGGAAATTATCATATTGAAAAATGGACTATAGTTCAATTTCGGCAAAGGGGATGGGATCATTTCATACAGTGATGTAAAAGAAAATGGAATGAAAACACTGTACTGAAAATATTTTTACTATTCAATAAAATAGTATTCTAAGGATTCATTCAGAGTTATTTGATGTATGCAATTTCATGTATACAAAGTGGTAACTGGTTTTTAAACACCTGTCATACTTTAATTACATCGGGAGAAATATGAGGAGCAATCTGCAGTAAGCAGATGAATGAAGCAACTCAAAGATTGGAAATTACTGTCATTAATTTCTTGGGGCGGTGGGGGTTGTAATTAAGAAATCCTCTTAACCAATCTTATAAAAATTGTCATGAACCTAAAGTTCTGGATAGGTGGTTCTAATAAATGGAAATATTGCCTTATTAGCAAGGAGAATTTTCTTGTCTCTTCTGATGATGCTGTATAGTTATCTTCATTTAACTACTAAAGACAATCTTTTCACATCTTTGGCCAAATGGTCTCTGTGGTATTTTGGTTGCAAGTAAAATTTGGTAAGTTTTCTGCTGGTTGGCCCTGCTGTAGATTTGATCGTTCGGTCCTTAGAAAAATTTTGTAAGAAAACTCGTAATGAGTGTGTATCATCTGCAAGTTCACTGCTCTTGGTATTTCAAGGCAAAGTTCCAGCTTTTAGAGAATATAGAACTGCAGGTTCCAGAAAATAGGCAAATGTAGAGATCAGTTGACGGACTAGTTCTGAAACAGCTGTTAGCAAGACAACTCTGCTTACCTGACAACCCAATATGAAGAGCTTCACCATCCTCGGCTTGGATTTGTAAGGGGTAAGTATTCCTGGGTTTTCTTCAGATGAGCTGAGTGGTTTACAGGCTCAGAGAATGCTAGGTGGGATTGGGGTAAGACGACACCTACAATCAGACCATGATTTATTGAAGAGTTCTTTAGGAGAAGGAAACTTTCCTCTCTTCCTCTAGAGGGAGTTCAGGTCAGCTCTGCATTTCAACAAGTGATGAGTTGCTTTGGTTTTGTTTGCCTAATTCAAAATTATTTTAGACGAACTTCCCCTAAGTCTTTGCTACCCAGTATTTGGAAGGCACCTCTCCTATATGGAACCAAATATTCAAGACTTCTGTTTCTGATAATGATATGCAAAATACACAGCTCTCAAGCTGACCTAGTAGTAGTGCTCTGGGAGATGTGGGTTTGCTGACTGGTCTCTCATTTCCAGATTCAGAAACACCTGTCAGGGAGCTCTATGGGTATGTCTACACTACCCGCCAGATTGGCGGGCAGCGATCGATCCAGCAGGGGTTGATTTATCGTGTCTAGTCTAGATGCGATAAATCCACCCACGAGCGCTCTCCCGTCGACTCCTGTACCCCACCACCGTGAGAGGCGTCGACGGGGGAGCAGCAGCAATCGACTCACTGCGGTGAAGACACCACGGTAAGTCAATCTAAGTACGTCAAGTTCAGCTACGTTATTCACCTAGCTGAAGTTGCATAACTTAGATCGATCCCCGACCCCAGTGTAGACTAGGGCTATGAGTGAAGCTAAGCCAGTAATGAACAGGGAACCCCGGTCAATGCTTTCAGAGCTAGCAAGCAGAAACTAGGAAAAATTATGTGTTAATGTAGATGGAAAAAATAGGCCTGAAGAGTCAAAGGTGCTAATGAGACCCTGTCACTGTCCAACATTATACACTGTTAAAACAAGGTTTGGTATACAGAGACCTCAACCTGCTTCAGCCTATGGCAAATTCATTAGAAATCCTCTTAACCTAATATTAAAGATACAGAAAAGAAGGGAAAACAGTTAAAGCATTTGAAACTTAAAGAATTAAACAGGCTCTCATTTTAACAACATCCCTTGTTCCCTTTTCTTTAATTAGAGACAGTTATTAAAAAGGAAAAAGCCCCTTGTGTGACAGTCTTTTAGATTATATCAAAGATGGTAAGAACTGTCCTTTTTGGGGAAAAGAGAAGTTAGCGGAGATGGGCTCCAACTGTTGTGCAAGCCCAATCCTGTTTTTAAGACAAGCACCCAAAAAGGGAGAAAAAAAGACAGAAGATGTAGCTTCTCTGGTGCTAACTTTTACTTGTTACCTCGCTGCTTGAGAAACACAAACACAGTACACGGTCTTATCAACCGCTCTGAGACCTGGCAAACTTGTACCAGCATTGGGCTGTTTAGGACATTGCTTTTAGCTGCTTGTCTGGCCAAAGGCTTACAACAGTGTTGCAAAATACGTAGTCTTGGCCAGCTAAGCCAGACCTTTTGTTAGGCAGGAACAAAGAGGAGAGAAGAAATAAAGTGGAGAAGGAAAAGAACACATGGGTGAGAGGGGATAAACTCTCATATCCCAGTTGGTGGTTGAGTTTCAGCCAGAGCCAGTAGATGTGGTGGTGTCATCTGGGTCCCTCTCTCTGCCCTGGTCTGGTCAAGACGTCTCTCAGGATCAGAAAGACAAATGCCTGGGGCCCTAGCAAATAGTGGGATGGCAGACTCAGACTTTAAGATTAGAAGGAGCCATCATGATGCTCTAGTCTGAACTCCTGCACATTGCAGGCCATAGAACACTCACCCACCCACTTCTGTAATAAACCCCCTAGCCTCTGACGTGAAGGTGAAGCTTGCTCCTTCCTTTTCTCATGTCTCACAGTCAGCCAGCTTCATAGTAAGCCATCTTTTCCCCCCCGAAGTAGGTTTTTAGGTTTGGGGTTTTTTTGGGAGGATTCCAAAAGGGAAGTGATGGGCAGAATAGCCCATGCTCTCATTTTGTCCACCAGTTAGGCCTAATTTCTAACTCACGAGTTTTGGTTCATTGATTTCCATCTCACACTGTTCTTGTTAACCAGGCATGATCTTCATATACAATCCTTGAATTATAAGGAGTAGGCCTCTTCATTTGAACTAATTCAGTCTGTCTTTTTTTGTACCTTTCCCCATTATCATTTATATTATAGGTTATTGTGACATTTTATGAACTTGCACTCACTTTTCACAATTGAGCTCACAATTAGGGTAAATTAGTAGGCCCAGTTATTACAACAGTGACTAACAATGTAACTGGAAAATGGAGGCTACCGAGGGGGAGAAAAAGGGGAAAAGGCCAAATGTGACTGAATGCAAGAAGGAAGACTTTAATCTTCAGGAGAGTGAAGGATGAATCTATTTACAGTACGAATCAGCTGTTCTCATAGGTCACCGTACACTTCATCCTCTTGCAAGCTAAAAACATTGTGGAAATGGTGTCTTATTTCTGGGTGGAGGCAACTATCAGCTAATAGCACCAGCTAGTACCAGCAGGGATATGCCGCAAACATGCAAGAAACAATGAAAATTCTAGAATATTGGGGACATGGGGGGAGGGGCTCTTCTTGAAGATGTGATTAGAAGCCTGAATACTCAAATGAAAGAATCCTACCATTCATAGTTTCTTCCTCAAGGAGTCTAGCTACTTGTCTGTGCCCTTGGTTAGAATGGCAGATATAAGAGCTCATCACAAGTGAAATATAGGTACAGTAATTACAAAAATAGTGTTATTGCATTTTGATTTGTATAAATGTTTTTATTTACAGTTACAACATTTCATGTCGTTTTAGATTTGGGAATAGTTACTGCATCTGCAATTTAAAAAACTAATTCTTAGTTCTCTTTGAAGGGGGAGGACTGGAGTGGTAATTCTTGAAGAGTGACAGTCCAATCCATGTGCAATCTTAAAATACTTCATATATCCCAGCTTTTTGTTAATATCTCCATGTAAAGCACCTCATCTCATCTGTAAAGTGCAGTGCAATACCTAAATCCCCCAGGTCTGGAAAAGTGCTTTATTTAAAACAAACAGAGAATTGGTGTACAGCATGTGTGCTTCCATTGGAAACACAATGCATGAAACAGATAACAGAACAATAGCCAAGGATCTTCTTATAGACTGCTGTAATGAATCTTAGCATCAGACCTGTGGAAATAATTCAAAGTAGAACATAGCTCTAAGCATAGGTTTTTTTCAGCATTTTACATAGGAATTGTTTCTCCCCTGCAAAGTTACCCTTCTTCTCAGAGGAAGCTGCTCCCCTCCGATCTAGATATAAAACGAAGAAAGGGGCCGGGCTTCATGTGGTTTGGTCTTGCCCAAATTTAGCTGTTTTCTGGGTGTAGTTTATAACCAGAGGATATAAAAAGTTACTCATTTAAAAATGTCATTCACTCAGTCTCCCATTTTGTATTTTGTCAAATGGCTGTATTACAGAGAAACACTGACTAATATAAGTGTGACCTTTGTCTTCCCCCAATTGTTGCTTTGGAAGAAAGAAATGTTACTGCTTATACCTCTGGAAAAGACAAGAAGAAAGCATAGGACTTCTGTTTTGTTCAGATCACTCCCCAGCAGAGATAACATTGTCCTGCTTTTGAGGGTTTTGAACTAAATGAGAAATAAAGGGAGGAGAATAAAAATCTATAACAAAAGCATTCACTTTGAAATATCAGAAGTTTAGGCTTCATGTTCTATGCCCTGATCTACACTAGGACTTTAGGTCGAATTTAGCAGCGTTAAATTGATGTAAATCTGCACCCGTCCACACAATGAAGCCCTTTATTTCGACTAAAAGGGCTCTTAAAATCGATTTCTGTACTCAAAAATGGTTAGCTTACAGGGTGGTTAGCTTACAGGGAAGTAGAGTGAACCAAGGGGCGGGGGATTTCATCAAGGAGAAACAAACAGAACTTTCACACCGTAGCCTGGCCAGTCATGAAACTGGTTTTCAAAGCTTCTCTGATGCATACCGCGCCCTCCTGTGCTCTTCTAACCGCCCTGGTATCTGGCTGCGCGTAACCAGCAGCCAGGCGATTTGCCTCAACCTCCCACCCCGCCATAAATGTCTCCCCCTTACTCTCACAGATATTGTGGAGCACACAGCAAGCAGTAATCACAGTGGGAATATTGGTTTCGCTGAGGTCTAAGCGAGTCAGTAAACTGCGCCAGCGCGCCTTTAAACGTCCAAATGCACATTCTACCACCATTCTGCACTTGCTCAGCCTGTTGTTGAACAGCTCCTGACTACTGTCCTGGCTGCCTGTGTATGGCTTCATGAGCCATGGCATTAAGGGGTAGGCTGGGTCCCCAAGGATAACTATAGG